CTTGCAATTCAAGGAGTTGATCAAAAACTCGAGCTTCAAAAATTTGCTGGCTTAAATACTGCACATAGCAAGATTGGTTCTTGTGTGTATAACATACACTTTTGGATTAGGAATGACACCACTCAAAATAAGCAAAAACAGTTGTTATAATAACAATGTTAGGAGGGAGTGTTGTGCAGCAGAGTGTTCTTCAAAGCCATAAAATTATTAAATTTTTATTAAACTCTAAGCCTTGCATTGTACCATTGGAGAGTGGTATCGCTTTTGGATTCAAAACATCAAAGGAAGAGGTAGCAAGATGACATCCTTTTTAATAAAACTGAGTGAATTAAATCATTTTTATCGAGTCAAATGTTTAGAAAATGAATTCACTCACCTTCTTTAATTCATAGCAATAAAAGATTTTAAATTTTGAATTTAAATTTATAAAACTCTACTATTTAGACGATGTATAATTGAGAGGTATCAATTTTGAGCGCTGTGGGTGTTAATCCTTCCTCACGCTGTGGAGTCCCTTGAAGACATCTTCAATGATGATCTTTTATAAGGATCGGGTGGTTTGATTACTTCTCCATCATAATCCTCATCATCATCATTATTTGAATCTTTGATCTTCATTTTTTAGACATTATTTGTGAGATTATTTTGCAGCTTGTGGAATATCTTACACTAATGGAAGTTGAAACATTTTCTCTTAAATATCTAATCTAGCAGTACAAGTTTATTAGAATATCTTACACTAGTACGGTGGGGTGGGGTGGGTGGGGTGAACAAGACAGGAGAGGGAGGGAAATGGGGCAAGGAACTCGGAGGGAATTTTTTTTTAATTATTTTAATTTGTTATTTTTTTAAAAAGTTATATATGTATATAAACAAACACTTAAAAATATAACGAAAAAAAATGTTAGATATCTATTTTTAATAAATAAAAAAAATTAGATATCAAATCGTATTTTGAGGAATAATTTAAAAACATATTTTTGCATCCGTTAGTTTTTAGAAAAAGATTTATCCTTTTGGAAGACGATGAGATGCTTTTATAATTCAATTTAATGTCGGTCGATGATATTGATATAAATTACAAAGCGTGTCAGTGAGGAAGTCCAAACAGCGTGGAATAAAGTAATGGGAGTGCTTGTACGATGATATGCTTTCATATTTGACGCATTAATCTTCTTCCTTAGGACCTAAGAAAGTCTGCAGAATCACTTTTTTCTTCTTTTAAATGGTGACAACGGAAATGGGTTTCTAACTGCGTGTGTTTAGAGCTGATATTCAGAGAAGATGGGAGGTAAACGTTCGAGTAAGCAGAAGGCGTTGTCCGAAACAAATATGGGTTCATTGATATTGTCTTTCGATGGAGTCTTGAAGACATATTCAACGATGATCTTTACAAGGATCAGGTGAGTTTGCCTTGTTCTCCGTCCTCATCGTCGTCCTTGAATCTTTGATGTTCTTTCTCTATTGACCTCCCTGTGTGATCATTTTGCAAATTTTGGAACATCTTACACTTGTATGGAAGTGTTCTTGATGCATTTCATAAACCTTCGAACTAACTCGAAATCCAAGCGAACTGGACTTTATTGTATGCATTTCATTTGCATTTAAACTGGTCCTTGAATTGTCTATTATTGAATTCCATGGAAAAATGTGTTTAAGGTTTGTTGTGGGACTAGTCTGTCAAATAGTTGTCTGATTTAAAGGATTAAACAGTTGGGAATTAATATGATCTGTTTCAATTTTATGTCAAATGCTAGGTGGAAAAGATTCCGGTTTCGTTTCGGTCGGTGGATCAGTATTCCGGGTCGTATCTTTCACCCTTGTTGGAAGAGACACGAGCGGAAATGCGTTCATCTATGGAAATTATAGCTAGAGCACCGTATGCCGAAGTGACATATCTTAATAAGGAGAAGTCACATGAAGCATTGTTGTTTGATGTGAATGTTGATTACTGGAGAAACAGGTCCTCAGGTCCTGAAAAGAAACCATACCAAACATTGCCTGGAGATGTTTTCGTCATAGCAGATGTGAAACCCGAAACTGCTTCTGATTTACTAAGGCTAGGCACATCCTGGTCTTTTGCCCTAGTCAGGAATATCTGGAAGGATGACGATGAGGGTGGCAATGGAGACAATAGCTCAGCTACTTCCTTCAAAGTAGAAACACTGAAAGACATTGTTTCTAATGATGATAAACAGATATCACTCTATGTTGTTCGTTCACTTGACAAATGTAACCACAAACAGAAGGATATGGAATGCACTGCACATGAAGATAAACGTAAAGATCATTGAAGAAGTTTTGCACGCTGATCGAACGGTATGGTATCACATGACACATATATATTGGATAATTCGATACTGCTCTTCATCTTTAATGGTAGCTTATGATGCAAGTGGCTATTTTTATTAAGCATCATGCAATATGGTTACTCTTCAATTTAAATGTTAACAGTCGAGGCATCGCATGTGATCGACACAATTAACGTATTGTGATGTTGCATTTTCTTAACTTTCGTGCCGTATGCAGGTAGCTAAAGTATGCAGTCTTTGTTCCTCAGATGTCAGTGAAAACTGGAAAGGGGCTTTTAAGAAGAGTTTGCTATCTAAACTGAATGAATCTCAAAGGAAGTCGGTTGTTGCTTGTCTGAGAAAAATGAAGTGCAACCACAAGTCTCATGTCGAACTTATTTGGGGTCCTCCGGGCACCGGGAAAACTAAAACTGTTAGTGTGCTTCTGTTTGCTCTGTTGAGAATGAAGTATAGGACACTCACTTGCACCCCAACAAATATTGCAATTACAGAAATAGCTGCTCGAGTACTAAAGCTGGTAAAAGAAGCTAACAGAACATGCTCTGTAGCTGATGGTCAGTTTTGTTCCTTGGGAGACATCCTCTTATTTGGTAATAAAGAGCGTCTCAACGTTGATTACGAGATCAAAGAAATATTTTTGGATTATCGTGTTGATAGGCTTAGCGAGTGCTTTGGGCTGCTAGGTTGGCGGCACTGTTTTACGTCGATGATAACTTTTCTCGAAGGCTGTTTGTCTCAGTACCGTGTTTTTTTGGAAAATGAAAGAAGCAAAGAGAGGAAAGGTGGTTGTGAAGACAAGAACCAGAAGAAAGAATGTTGCAGTAAAAATAGTTGCAAGAAGGGGACAAACAAATCATTCCTTGAATATGCTAGAGAAAGATTTACCAGTACAGCATTACCACTGAGAAGATGTGTGTCAATTTTATATACTCATATACCTAGATTCTACTTTCAGGGACGTACTTTCCAATACCTCGAAACTCTTTTAGGCCTGCTTGATTCTTTTAAAAGTCATCTGTTTTTTGATGGTATAGCTTCTGAAGAAGTGGAAGAGCTCTTTTTGCGTTCAATCGATGATAAATCGCTTCCTCGAAATCTTTATGATCCATCACACTTGTTGTTCTCAGTAAGAAGCCAGTGTCTGCATGTTTTGAAAGCCCTCCGTGATTCTCTTAGTGAACTTAAACTGCCGAGTGCGAGGAACAAGAATTCCATAAGACGGTTCTGCCTTGAATCAGCTTCTTTAATCTTTTCCACTGCAAACAGTTCTTTTAAACTCTATAAAGTTGAAATGAAACCACTGGATGTGTTGGTAATCGATGAAGCAGCACAGATGAAAGAATGTGAATCTGCCATACCCTTGCAACTGCCGGGTTTAGTACATTCGGTTCTCATCGGTGATGAACAGCAATTGTCTGCTATAGTTCAAAGCAATGTATGCAAATTTCGCCTAGTTTGTTGTCTTACTTTTGGAAGTAAAGTTATGAATTTGTATATTTTCTCTTCAGGTTTCAAATGAAGCTGGCTTTGGAAGAAGTTTATTTCAAAGGTTGACTGCTTTGGGTCACTCAAAGCACCTACTGAATATTCAGTACAGAATGCATCCGTCAATCAGTTGTTTTCCAAATGCCTGTTTCTATAATAACAAGATATTGGATGCAGCTACTGTTAAGCATAAGAGTTACGAAAAACATTATCTTCCGTGGCCTATGTTCGGTCCCTATTCCTTTATAAACGTCTGTGGAAGAGAAGAAGATGGTGGTGTCTCGCATAGCCGGAGAAACATGATCGAGGTAGCGGTCGTGCAGAGGTTGGTGCAAACTCTATTCAAAGGTAATTGTCGTGAGCCTTTTTAATGCTATAATTTCAGTTGAGTGCCGATTGATCCTTTCCGCTTCTGTCGTGTTCTTGTTTTATCAGATTCATATATGTTGCTTTTGATTGCAGCATGGAAGAGGTCAAGAAAGAGGCTTAGCGTTGGCATAATATCTCCTTATACTGCTCAGGTTGTTTCAATTCAGGAGAAACTTGGTAGGAAATATGAGAGAGCTGATGGCTTTGCAGTGAAGGTGAAGTCAGTTGACGGTTTCCAGGGAGGTGAGGAGGATATTATAATAATATCAACTGTTCGATCCAATCATACGGGAGCAATCGGTTTCGTATCCAGTTCTCAAAGAACTAATGTTGCTCTTACAAGGGCTAGGTATTTTTCCTTGGATTAACCTTCCATCTCTCTCTAGTTTTTGCATTTCTGTGACCAGTTGCAATGTATTTCTTGGTTTTCAATCAATGCCTTCTCAGGCACTGCCTCTGGATTGTGGGGGATGGAAGAACATTGTCCGAACGTAAATCTGTTTGGCGGGATTTAGTTTGTGATTCAAAGGCGCGTAGTTGTTTCTTTAATGCTGATGAAGACAAGGAACTGGCTAAAGCTATCTTAGATGCCAAGAAACGTCCTGGTCAGCCTGATGACTTGCTTAATCAGGATAATGTTCTCTTAAAGTCATCTGTAAAGGTCAAATCTGCCCAGACCCAGAAATCAGCAAAGAATCGTGGAACTTCCTCGAGGCAGGCCTTCGAGTGTCTTGATGAGCTCGAATCCTCGGAGGAAGGATCATCGAACTTCTTCGACTGTCTTGATGAGCTCAAATCCTCGGAGGAAGGATCATCGAACTTCGTGGAGGCAGCAAATATTGCAAGGTTGAGAGGCGACCATGATCATTTTCAGGAGGTCGTTGAAGCATTAAAGGCAGTGGATGATACCAAAGATCAAAGGACCATTATCTTATTTACTTCACTGAGGGTACTGTCTACACGCATGTCACTAGATGAGCTCTGATACCTTGCTGTTTACCTTGTGTTTTAAGTTTCTAGCATTGTTTCACCGTTCGGATCATGCTTATTGTTATTTTGATGTATTTTTAGGTATATCTAGGAAAATTAGCCTTCGTCGTCGATGCTGGTATAAAAGAATGTTTGCAGAAGAAACCTGCAGGTGGTGAAGCCTTTTTGAGGGATGCAAGCAGCATGCTCAATCTAATGAAGCGATTGCATAGTCTACTAGAATTGAGGTTAGTTTCATGCACTGCTTCTCCCATATGTAGTTGAAAGATACCGTTTTACACATGATTAGTGAAACATATTTAGAACTTCCCGCTGCTTTCTCCGTTTCTTTTTCAGTAGTCCGAAACTTGAAAGTAGCATTCCAATAATCGGTGCCCTTTGCGAGGAGATGCATTCAGGGTGGCCTGCAATGGTGCCTTTTCTGCACCAGCAACGCTATTTGGAAAAAGATGAAAACCATGTATCTGAGGAACACCAAAGCAACATTAAATTTAAGAAACAACAAGAGTGGAGACCGAAATCGGAAGTAGAAAAAGATGAAAACCATGTATCTGAGGAACCCCAAAGCAACAATAAATTTAAGAAACAACAAGAGTGGAGACCGAAATCGGAAGTAGAAAAAGATGAAAACCATGTATCTGAGGAACCCCAAAGCAACAATAAATTTAAGAAACAACAAGAGTGGAGACCGAAATCGGAAGTAGAAAAAGATGAAAACCATGTATCTGAGGAACCCCAAAGCAACAATAAATTTAAGAAACAACAAGAGTGGAGACCAAAATCGGAAGTAGAAAAAGATGAAACCCATATATCCGAGAAATCCGGTGACCATTGTGGTGAGAAAGAGAATAGATGTAAGGGTGAGACATGTAGCAAGGGCAAGAAGCCAGCTTCAGAAGCTACTGTCAATCCCAAACACCAAGACAACAATAAATCTAACAAGAAGAAAAAAGGACGGAGGCCAAAATCGAAAGTAGATAAGCATTCATGAAATACTAGAGGGTGATGTGTTTCTCGAACCTATAGTCTGAAGTTTTAAAGTGTTTTTCGAACCTAAGTTACAATCTATAGTCTGAAGTTGTAAGTGTTTTTCGAACCTCAACCTCTATGAAAGTCTCAGTAGATTCTAAATTTTATTGCCGAATCGAAAGCAAGAAAGTAGAAACCTTGCCATAACCCGATTATGTAAATCATCTACCACAAAACAGTAAAGCCAGCCAACTTTAATATATTATTGAAGCCAAAACTGCAAAAGCAACTAATCCATTCGAAAAATATAAAACAACTCGTCACTTTATTTCTTTCAGTGATCATCTGAAACTTGCATAGAAGTTCCGATATCGCTTGTACCGATTCCGACAAGGCTTAAAGGCCGAATGAAGCACACACTACTCAAGAACTGTATACCACCAGGAACCCAGAAAATTTCCCGAAACCCCCAAAACTCAATTCTCCTCATTGGTGTCAAACAACTTCATTTTTGATAAAGGTGTCCTCAAGTACCCTTCCACCTGGTGCTTCCTTGGTGAAAGCTTCTTGTACCTTGCGAACTGTTCTTTGGCTTCATCATTCCTATCAAGCAAGGTATATATCATCCCTTGACAAAAATACGGCCTATAATCACTCGGATCTTCTTTGGCCAATTCTTGGTAAGTCATAAAAGCTCCTTCCACGTTGTTTTGCAAGAATTGTATCTGGGCAATTATGAACCGAACATCTGAAGATACTAATTTTTTACCCATATTATAATTATTATTATTATTATTATTATTATCATTATTATTATTATTATTAAATATATATTAAATAAACAATATTAAATTACAAAACCCAATCAACCGTCCCAAAACCCAAACCAAACTGAAACCCAAAACATTTAAGGTTTCAGTTAGGGTTTCATAACCCTAATCTAGCCAGCCGCCTCAGACTGACCGTTGGATCTAGCAAGATCCAACGGTCCAGATGGCTCAGATGGAAACCCTAGGGTATGATACCCTAGGGCCACGCGGCCGCCGCTGCTGCTCTCGCCGCCTCCGCCGCTGCCACGTCCCGACCGAAGGCTCCAGAAGCTCCAACGCCAGCCGTCCACGCCATGGCTACGGGGTGAGTCACCACTGGTAGTCCGGTGACTCACCGAAATCTCCTCTTCGGACCGGTCCGATGGCCACACCGGTGGTGGCTATAAAAGCCACCACCCGAACCAAAAAAAAAAAAGAGAGACAGAGAGAAAAGAGAGAGAGAAAGAAAAGAAAAAACAATATAAAAAGAAAATACTACCAACGATCTCAGTCAACATCCCAAAACCAGCAACCAAAATAGAAGAAAAAGGAGGAGAGAAACTTACCGAGGAAGCCGACCGCCGGATCTCACCAAAACCTTCGAAAAACCGAAGGTATTTTTTAGATTTTGCTCCGATTGGGAGCCGTTTAAAGGAAAAGATCATCGGAACCGTCATTAGGACGGTCCGATCTACGTTTCGATGTAAAAAAATTTTTTTCCGGTAACCGAAGACGGTGGCCGGCGGCGGTGGTTGATGGCGGACGAACGCCGACTGACGGCTGCCGGCCGGCTGGCTTCTCTCTATTTTAGAGAGAAGCGAGAGAAAATTCTCTCTCTCAGAGAAGAGAGAGAGAAGGAAATGAAGAAATGAAGCTGGCCCTTCGGGCCAGCCGGTTTTGGACCTTTTATAGGCCTTCCGAACGACGTTTTCGGGAAGGACTATGCACGTAATTAGACAATAGTTAACCCCGTCTGCCGTCCTCCTAAACTTGTAAACTTTACATTTTAGTCACTAATTGAATTTATAAATACTTTTAATTCAGTCTTCGAATTTCAATTTTATTCATTTTAGTCCTTTATATTAAAAATAATATATTTAGGATAAATACAGATTTAATCCCTTAATTTTAATAAATAATTTTAATCCCTAGTTTATATTTTTAATTTATTTTATTATAATATCCGGATTTTAGATAATTTTTTTTAGTCATTAAATTATTAAATAGAAAAGCATGTTTAATCCCTGTAATTCTGATTAATTAGGAATTAGGTTTTTCAATTTTAATTTCACTATATTTTAGTCATTTATTTTAGTATTTTTTATTGCTTTTAAATATATAATTAGAATTGTATTTTTTACTTATTTATATATTTAAATGTTTTATAAATATATAATAAATAAATATTTATTTTAAATAAATTATTTTAATATTTAGTTTTCAATATCAAGAACATGACAGTCTTAATACAACTGGATGTCCTATTCTGATATTTTAAAATTAAAAATTAAACAATATTATTTAAATTAATATTTATCAATATCAAAGAAAAGAGCTGTCTTAAGGCACCTAGAAGTTCTTTTCTGATATTTTTAAATAAATAAATATTTTTATATATAATTTGAAAAAATAGGATTATAAATTAAATATATTTTTGAATTTTTAATAGAGACAATTATAATTAAAAAGTACCAATTTTGGGCGTTGTAGGGTGCTAATCATTCCTAAACGTAACCGACCACGAATCCTTTTTATTATTAAAAAGAACGAATTTTTGGTTATAAACGCAGACCAGTTCATTTTTTTTTTGATGTTTTCTTAAAACTCTTTTAAAGAAAATAATTTTAGGTATTTGACCTACCTGATCCAAAGGTCGATGGCGACTCCCAAATTATTTTAAAAAATTTTATTCATCAATTTCCCTGCCAAGTATAATATTTCGTGCCCGGACGAAAACCGGTTACGACTTGGCGACTCCGCTGGGGACCTGGTCAAACTTTTAAAATCAATTATAAATTGTCTCCATTAATTAGAATTAAAAATTTATATATTTAATTTTTAATTCTTCTTTTCAAAATTTTTATATTCAATTATTATTCATAATATTACAGATTTTATTTTATTTGTAAGTATTTATTCATTATTTATTTTGTCAGAGGTATGAACATTTCTCCTCACACACAACACTGCATTGCATAACATAAAGCTCTATAATTGAGTTGTCCCTTTTAAGTGGGAGTGAAAGCGACGTCTTCGTGAGAATTTATTCTCCGTGTCAGACCTAGCAAGTAACTTCCGGGGTTCATATGCTCTATGTTTTCGTGAGAATTTATTCTCCGTGTCAGGCATAGAGAAATGTATCCCCTCGAATTGAACTCAATCCACTTTAGTCTGTGATGGACTAGGGTTGAGGGTTAGCAACCCAAGGGGGCACTAACAAGAACAATTCGGGTACCTTTACTCTTAGATCTGAAACCCTACATATAGAAAACCCTAGAAACTCTTCCGATCCTAAGTCATGCCGAAATTTTGTCTAAAATAGGTGTATACACAAGAGAAATGTATTCTAACTTTTTAGTTTATTTATTTTCTTTAAATTACATGTATATTTAAATTATTTAAATTTAGAAAAGCATGTTTAAATAAAAATTATTTATGTAAATGTTAAATTTCTTTATTATGTAAACTAATTTATTTTCTTTTTGTGTGTTCTTTATTTTTCTGTTTGCATAGCATCATACAGGATAAAAGGCATTGATCCTTGTGTTAATTGTCTCATTGGAAAGCCTTCATCTATGGATAAAAAGTGTTCAAATCAAGTAATTCTGAACTCAGAAGTAAGACAGTGGGCTGAGGATTTACAAAGACAAGAAGGAAACAGTTTACAGGATGATTATATATCTGACTTGGCCAGTTATGCTCCAGTTTCACTAAAAAGAAATGATATGCAAGATTTGCGAAGCATTTGGGAAAGTTGGGATTCAAACAAAAAATTGCAGTTTTATCAGACTTACGGAGACATCCCATATTTGCTCTATGTAGAAGTTGATGATGAATTACTCCGAGCCCTAATTCAATTCTGGAATCCAGGGTACAATTGCTTCACTCTCAATAAAGAGGATTTGGTCCCTACTATTGAAGAATACACAACTTTGCTACATATAGATGGGGCTTTGGAGAATCGAATCTATTCAAAGTCAATTAAAACTCAACCCTTTCGAGTTAAATTAGCAAAGATTGTTGGGGTACGAGAAGAATGGGTAGCATCCCGTAAAAAACAAAAAGGCGAAAGCGAAGGCATTGCTTGGAACAACATTAAAGAACTTATTCAGAGTCATCCAGATATTAAAGTACGGTTCGATTTATTTGCTCTGGGTATGTATGGTATGGTCATCTTCCCAAAAGTATTGGGATATGTTGAAGCTGCAGTGGTAGATTTGTTTGAGCAGCTACCGAAAAAGATTAATCATGCTTCTGCAATCCTAGCAGAGACCTTCAGATCGTTAAATGCTTGTAGAAAGTTAGGAGGTGGACGATTCTCAGGGTGTACCCAGTTGTTATATGTTTGGATCCATAGTCATTTCTGGAGGACAGAAAAAGTTTCATACCGACGCTTTAATACGAATTATTCACTATTAAAGGAATTTCTGGAGCAATAATGGCCGAAAGAAATTAAGAAAGATATGTGGATTAATGCCTTTCGAAATCTGCAAAGCAATGACATTGTTTGGCGAGCCCCGTGGCAAATCCAAAGGGAATTCTTTTACAGATGTGGAGATTACAACTGGATAATGCTACTCGGATTATGGGGAGGAATTGGATATGCACCACTTCTGGTTATAAGACAGTATGAAGGTCGTCAATTTGTACCTATCACTGCTGGATTACAGTCATCTGAGTTCGCATTCCATAGCAAAAATTATAAAAGAAGTATCATGGAAGCCGTTACAGCTTGGAAAACAACTTTTTGTATCCGAGCTAAAGCAGCAAAAGAAATGCTAACTCCTGATTATGAAGAATGGAGATCTCAGAAAAAACGAAAATATTCCTCTACCAGATCAAAATGAGGATCTCTATGGAAGATCGCATTAAGGTGGTTCCGTCAGAGATTGAAATCTTGAGAGCTGAGTTTGAAGCAGAAAGAGAAGGTTGGTCGAAAGAATTAGAGCAAATGAGACAAGATAAAGCTATGTTAGGTGTTGACATTGATTTTCATTCATCACAATGTGCAATGTTGAGAAAAGATAAAGAAAAAGTTGATGAGGAATTCAGAGCATTACAGAAAAATTATCAGGAGTTATATAAATCCCGGAAAACATCAGGATCAAGCCAAGCAACAATACAGATGACCAG